TACAAGCATGCACCACCGTGTCAGGAAAGATATGCATTTTTAACAGGGGCAAGATAGTCCCCAGCAGAGCAAAAACTTTTCTAGGTGGAGGCAAAAAGATCTTACATAATACAATGTATCTTAGCCTTGGGTACTGTTTGGGCCACAGTTTCCAAAGAGATGTACAGTATGTTTTATTAATATTTCAGAGGGTTGGGTGGCAGCACTCAGCAAAAACCATGTCTGAAGAGTCAGTAGTTTTCAAATCTTCAGGGGAAATAGCTAAAATAAAAAGAACCAAACAAATATCAGAAATAGCACAGCTCCATATCGTATTTAAGTTGTGGCATTTTGAGTAACTTTTTTGTTTTCTTTTATGTTATTTGCTATCATCTAAAATTTATTCAATGAACATGTACAACATTCTATATATTATATACTATATATTATATACCTTATAATATATATTATATAGTATATACTATAATAAGGGACAGTATTCAGTTTAATTGAAATTGAATACATCAATCAAAATAAGTCAATTAAGATTTAAAGAGGTCTTGCTGAATGTAAGAATGCAGAGATGGCAGATGGATGGTGTAATGGCCCTTCTCTGTGTCGTAGGGATATTACTTTCACACTGAAAACCCCTTCAAGGACTGGCCTGGAGCATTTGAAGAAGGCTTAAAAAGGCTGAAGGAAGGGGACCTCCCAGTCACCATTCTGTTCATGGAGGCAGCGATTCTTCAGGACCCCGGGGATGCAGAGGTAGATCCATTCTCTTCAGTCTACTAGACTCAGAAGCAGCTTCATGTGCTAAGGACAGACAGGGTGGCACAGGGCTCTCCTAGGAAGCATTTTCACCAAGTAAAAGTTCCTGAAGGGGTTAACCTGGTTTAGTGTGATATTTCTTCTAAGAGATAAATAGGTACCTGTTTCTAATCTGCAGTGTCTACATTGCCCAAAGATAAAGGTTGGGGATGAAAAATGAAAAAAAGAAATCAAAATTGCCAACCTGAAACACACCCAGTGGTTTTCAGGAAACAATGCGTAGTTTTGTCTGGGTCTCAAGTCACACCGTGTATCACCCTTGATTTACTCACTCAACATTTATTGAGCAAATACTATACCCTCAAAATTGCACTAGGTCCTGGCTTGAAATATTGAAGGGCTTGGGAATGCAAAGACACCTTTGTGGTCTATCTGGAGAGGTGACATAGTGTCATGAATATGGTGTCTGGATGTGCTAGGAGAGCAGAGAGCCGGGTCCTAATCCAGCCTTCCCCTACAGGTGGATCCAAAGTTGGGTTTTGAAGGAGAGAGAATTAAAGACCATAAGAAGTCAAGTTGTTTTTCAGAGGGAATGGTGCAAGGG